GGGGGGGAGAGGGGGGGCTGGAATTGAGGGAGTGGCCAGGGGCTGGTTCTTTGTTGTCATGTTCGGCCCAAACTGTGACACTACATAAAATCTTTTGAACAAACTGACATTCTATCAAATCTTAAAGACCCATTGTATCTTGAATTTTTTATTATTATTATTGCAAATATGGCTTTATCATATAGTCCTTCTGTTCCATTCAGAATTGCTTTGTATATGAACCTGAAACTTTCAAAGAAACTGGAATATGTTACTTTATTCTAAACAAAAATTTTAAATATAAGAACACAAAAGTTCTTAGCAAAGTCGGTCTCTCACTTGTCTATTTTTTTCAGATTAAGTGTGATAATGAATTTTTTTATGCCTTCTGTTACTCTGTTTTTCATCAGGTTTTACTGGTCGGTTTTGTGAAGCAGATGTTGCTGCTTGCCTGTCACAGCCATGTGCGGCCCCCAGCATCTGTAAAGACACATTGGGTGGCTATCTTTGTTTCTGTGCACCTGGTTTTATAGGTAGGTTCAAAGGAGTGAGGACTGTTGTTTTACATGCTTAATTCAGTCCTAAACCATGGATAAGGTTATACAAATATAGTAATAGACACAATTTAGCAGTGTGCCTCTGACTGAGGTGGAAGCAACTTTTGTTTCCTGGCAATCAAAAGTACATGGGTGTGTAAAAGTATTCCACTGTAAAAAATACTGACAACATGCGATTATTTCCACTCCAATAACTCTTACTTTATACTATTTTAGACAGAGTGTCTGTCTTACACTGATGGGATTGCTACTTCCAGCCATATGTAAGTTGGCCTTATGTTATCTGCTTCATGCTTCTTGTAATAATAAGGCTGCAGTAATGAGGGCTTCAACTTCTGAATATACATCCAAGATCCTGGGCAGGTTTAACTACTTAAACCTACCCTGCAGGTCATTGTCACTAGTTGAGACTCCAACTAGATTAAAATTGGCTTGGCTGTGTAAACATACTGTCATAGTAATTCCAGATTACATTTTTTTAAAATAACCAACAAAAAGTTTCTAGACACAGATGCAGATTTTTCAATCATATGTATGATGAACTAATCAAGCACAGTCTGAATTCCCTGAGTGGCAGGTCAGCTCTGCTGCCAAGATCCATTCATCCTCATTGCAGGGATTTTGATGGTGCTCCCAGAGCAGGAATAGGGTGACTCTTGATAGTCAGGGAGGACACAGGCAGCAAGAGCAATTCAGATCTGGAGTAGACTCCATACCTCTTAAACTGTTGCTCCATGTCCTAATGTAGGCAACCATTTAGATGAAATAATCTATAGCTTAATGGCTATAATATTTGTGTCTGTAATGTGATAATTCTTGGTGAGATCTTATTTTATTGAAATTTTTGTTTAAGTTCTTATATCTACAAAATAGTGGTTTTAATTTATACATTTTCTGTGGCCAAATAAAGCCCACAAAACCCTTCTGAAACAATCAGAAACTCTTTGCCTACCTTTTAGGTGTAAGCAATTTTAACATTGAGGCCATTATAATCTGTTGGGATAATTAATATACAAAATGAAAATAAATATTTTCTGTGCTTTATTCTACCTTGGAGGCTAGAACAATTATAGGTACATCATTCTCAACTAGAAATCAGCATCTATGATTTTTAAAATATATAGCAATATCTAACTTTTTAATTATTATTTTCCAAAAAAAGTTTGTTAAATATTTGGCCATAATAGAAACTTTTGCTAATATTTCCCACAGAGACCTCTATAACAAATCCAGAAATTAATACATGAATGGAAAAGCATAATATAGAAAAAAACTGTGATGTTTTAATATGTGATCTTAGAAACAACATTTAGATTTATGTGATATTTCAGAAAAACTAAAGACTTTACAGCCTTAAAAAAGGAAAAATGTGCATTTTTATTTATTTTATTTTTTTTAAAATCCAGAAATGAATCTATATATTATATATGCCTTTTGCTTTTGTCTTTAATCAACAATAAATTAATTTCCCAAAGACAATTTCTGGCTCTTTGCTAAAACTTCCCTGGGCTCAGCCTCAGTTATTTCATTTTGTTGTTGCTGCTTGCACTGATGAGTCACCAATGATACATTCCTAATGAAGTTAATCCTTCACTTGTTCCCAGGTAATAACTGTGAGATTGAGGTGGATGAGTGTCTTAGTGACCCTTGTCACAATGGAGCTACTTGTGTTGATCATCTGAATGCCTTCAGTTGTGTCTGTCAGGACGGATTTCAAGGTATTAAAAAATCCATAGAACAGTAATTTCATAAATCTACTTTGAGTCTTAAACTGATTTTTCAACATGTCAGATGATATGTATGGATGATTATTTTAGTGTCATCTGAAGGTATACAAAGATCTTGTAACTTCAGCATAAATGATCTTAACTGGAGTCACATACTTTGTTTTCATGACTGGTGCTTTTTGATAACTGGTGGCTTAGCTGTTAAAAATGGATCAGTGGTGTATAGTGAAATTTTGCAAATAGCATATACTATTTTCAGTAAGCTTTTTAAACTGTTGGCAAATGTAATATAATAGAAACAGAACAAAAATTTGGGGGGGGGAAAGAATTAGTTCTTGGCATATGTATGCAGTAAGTAGTCTCCTCTTTGCCTGATTTTATATTTATAGGCATAACTTGTGAAGCAAATATAAATGAATGTCACACTTCTCCGTGTCTTCATAATGCATCATGTGAGGACTTTATTGGTGGCTATGAATGCATCTGTCTACCTGGCTTTACTGGTGAGTTGTATTCAAAGTAAAACTTGTTTTCCACAGGGAGGTAGTCCAAAAAGCATCCATTAAGACATCACCAGCTAATTTGCTTGTGTTTCCTTCTCATTTCTCTTTATCTGCCCTGTTCTAATGTTTCATTTGTATTCAAACAAACTGGAACACTGACTTCATCTGTAAACTGAATAGCACAAGATAAATTAGTCTGTATTTTAAAGGCCTGGAAAGCTTCCACATACAGGGAAGATTAGGTACCACTTAGCAACTCAGAAATAAGCTGTTATGTATTTGTGGTGATAAGAATTAAATGGATGCTGACATTAGTATGTGTGGCTCTTCACTTGGTTGATTTATGTTAGTGTCATCTTAGAAGTTGCTTGAGATTCTTGTGGTGCAAATGAAATAGAAATTGGCACCTGATTCTCTTACTAAGTGTTCAATTTTTCATCTTTTCAAAGGTGCAAGATGTGAAACAGATATAGATGAGTGTGCTTCATTTCCTTGCAAGAATGGAGCCACCTGCATTGACCAACCTGGTAATTACTTCTGCCAATGTGTAGCTCCATTTAAAGGTAATGAACACCAAGGGAGAGGGGAAAGCAAACATAATTAGCTTTAGAAAACATTTGTCAATTGTCTGAACTCATTTCAGTCTTCCTACAGCATTATTAGTCTTTCATTTTGCCAAGCAAGGCTTTTAAAGTGACCAGCCAATTATGCCTTAGGCTGCAAGTAATGTAAACTTTGTACATCTACTAGTAGCGTTTATTTATTAATCAAATTGATAGTTTAAAATCAGTTTGTTAAAAAAAATAAGATTATTTGCAAAATGAGAGGCATATGCCTATTAAGCTGCCATCACAAAGGTTAATTTCTTTTCTATACATGTTTCTCTCTAATGTGATTGATCATGGTATTCTCTAAATTAGTTTTTCATTATCAGAAAAGCAATTGATATTTATGTTTGAATCCATAAATTGTGTGTGATTCTTTCTGCTGGTGCTTTTAAAGGAAATAAACTTGAAATTTAAGCTTTATTGTGACCATTTTCATAAAAATTTGGGGGGGATTAATTTTGAATACTCAATGCTAGAATAGTTCAAAATAACAAATTGTGCAGTGTTCTTGAGCAAATCTTGTGCAAGTGATAATCTCAACTAGAGGTGCTTGTTCATTTATAAATTAAATATAAACACATTTTTCCTCCAGCAGTTCAATATAATGATACATTCTTAGGATTTCAGAATAATCATTAAAAGGCAATTTTCTTGGTATGTTGAGACAGCAGGGCTTTTTTGCCTTTAGGGAATAGCATTAAATACATCATTTATGAGACAAGAGTGAGCTCTAATGTTTATTTTTATTATTTTAGTTAATGGTCAACATTTAGTTTGTCATTTTTACTAGTTTAATTTATGTTCTGCTGAATAAAATCTAATAAAATAACAAGTAAATGAGTACTACAGTATCAGAATTGCCTTTGCTCAGAAAGATATGAAGTCATTTTCAGTACATAGTTAGAAATACTGATCTCTTGAGTACTTGTTTCACAAGAAGTAAGATTTTCAAATTGGTATTAATTTAACTACTTTATTAAAATTTCAGAAAGTCAACATTTCTGTAGTCATCCTTCAAGAAGTTAGTAGTGTCTAATACAATAGAAAAGTTAACCCCTGCTGGCAAGATTCATAAATAGTAACTGAGGTCCTCTGGAAACATAACATTATTGGTACAGGATGTCTAGAATCTATGGGACTCTTGTTGAAATAAAAGATCTTTTGAGACTGTTTACTTCTTTACAGGTTTACTTGGCACCTTGCAAGATTCAATTCTTATACTGATGTTACCTAGATTTATGATAGCATAAATAAAAGCAGAATTAGTTTCATATGAAAACTATATCAGTCTTAAACTCTCTGTTATTTAAACTATTGTAAATGTAATCTTTAACTGATTCACAGTAAGCCAACATAATGAGTAGTTAAACTACGTGTTCTAATTGTGTGGAAGTATTCAGGTTACTGTAAATAATACCTTTGTGTGCACTACTTACAGATAGCAGGATTGCTTTACTAAAAACTAAATACATTATATTAATGGTAGAAGTTCTATAGGAATATGTTTGGGGTTTTAACAAATATTTTCACTCATTTTATTGCTTCTGTTAATGTCAGAAGAAAAGTATAAATGTTATATTGTGAATGCTGCAATTTACTTGGAATGCAATCTGAAGTTGTATTTCCATAAGAGATTGTAATGGATTGATTCTCCCCTCACAAAATCTCCCTTGAAGAGAATGCATCACTATTAGGAACATTTAATATAACAGTGGATCAGGTGTGTACAGCAGACCCCTACTATACAGAATACATGATTAAGGAATTCAGAGCATGATTAGGATGTTCAGGTACATTCATAAAAATAGTAGCCTGTCAGATTAAGCCAGAAATGGATTCCATTTATTGAAAATGCTTTGCATACATTTATCTTTCTTTCTTCCTTCCTTATTTCCATGACTAGTCTCCTTTGTTTATTTTGGCAAGGAGACTATAGGAGATTATGACCAGAAAGTTCTGATTTATCCATTTTCAGTTTTGTTTTGTTTTTCTTCCCCTTTATTACCTTGTCTTTTAAAAAAGAAAATAGAAACATCTTCACTTTTTTTTTTTTTTTTTTTTTCCTTTCCATTTCACTTTCCAGAGCATTTACTTCTCATTTTCAAGTTCTGTAAACCTTTTGATGTCCTGAACAGGTACTTCTATATTTTAATAAACTTTTACAACAGTTCTACATTAATATGAAAAGTAATCAGAAATTTCATTAAGGCGTTATTGTATACTCAAAGTTTCTTTACTTTTTCTTGTGTGGGTTTTTTTGATTATTATTTTAAAGCATGGATTTTTCTACTTTTACAAAATATTTAAAGTCTTTCCACTGGCTTCCACAGAATACTGGAAGATTTCCAAAGATTTTAACAACAATTATGCTTGGGCAGTAGTATTTATCTGAATGTTTCTTCAAATATCTGACAGTCCAGGCTGTGCAAATTAACTGTACAAGCCTAATTTGTAAATGTTATTTTTAGTTTTCCTAGGGGCACAAAACTTATAAGAAAATCTAATTTCTGTGGTAAAGCAAATGCATGGACAGCACTGGAGAAATACATCTTCTGACACTGTTGCTACAATCCTAACAGTGATAAAACTAAAGCATTCCTCTCCATCAGTGTTCCTCTGACAAAGGTTTTCCCCATAGCTACCATATGTCAGTTGTTGTTCAGTCCAGGGACACCACATAGTGGCCTTCCAGAACCTGAAAGGGGCCTACAGGAAAGCTGGGGAGGGGCTTTTTGCAAGGGCTTGTAGCAATTGGACAAGGGGTAATGTGGAAGGGGGGGATTTAAGTTGGACATTAGGATGAAATTTTTCACTGTGAGGGTGGTGAGATGCTGGAACAGGTTATCCGGAGAACCTGTGGAGGCCCCATCACTGGAAGTTGGATGGGGCTTTGAGCAACCTGGTCTAATAGAAGGTGTCCCTCCCCATGCAGGGGGTTTGGAACCAGATAATCTTTAAGGTCCCTTCAAAACCAAACCATTCTATGATTCTATGATTCTATAATTTAGTTTTTCATTGGAATTACTGCCACTGAAATTGCTGCCTTTGATTTTTCCCAAATATTGAGCTATACAGCTTGAGGGTACTAGCAGCCCATTTTTGCATAATTCAAAAGGAAAATGGAAGAAACTTGTAAGAATACTAGGTACAAAATAACATCCATGACAATGCCTAATGTTTTAATTACTATATATGGTAATTGAAGTATTTTCATGGTATTTCAGCCAAATTCTTTGTCCCATGGAGGAGAAAAATCAATTTCTGTTTTCCAAAATCATAGAGCTCCACCTGTAGTCCAAATGAAGTATAAAATAAACTTCAAAGTCCATATATTTCATTTTGGAGGAAACTCAAGATTTGATTAAAGAATTTTTAAAAAAAGATCTATACCAGATCATGTTATTACTAAAGAGAATCATGTGTAAACCCACACAGAAATTCTAGAATTTACTGAGCCCCAGTGAGCACCTGTTGTAACTAAAGTCAAACCAAGAAAAAAAATTATGGCATCTACATTTGTGTAATATGCTTTAGCCATTTATAATATAGTGATCTATGCCAAAATTACTGCGGGTGCTTGTGAATATGTTCCAATTACCCCAATGGAACAGCCCACTTTAAAAAGTCCAGTTCTCTGTTTGTTTCGCTAGTGTTCTATCACTGACTTGTATAGTACAAATTATTGTTACACCTCACACTTAAATGCTGAAATGATATATTTGCTTCTGCTTGGTGCTAATGTGTTACTCCTTCCAAATATGATCCTATTTTTTAAATGTGTCCCTCTTCCGTCTATTTTCTCTCGTACTTAAGATGCAACACAGAGTCACGTATTGAACATCTTTTATCAGAGGACATTCTGAAGTCAAGTTGTTCAGAAACAGAGAAAGAGGATCAGCTGGTTTT